TACCTGATCCTGTGTGTTAACCTATAGAAGTTCTCACCCTTTTCACCACACTGTTGATTCCCTCAGTAATTTTGATATAGGAAGATGATCCAAGAAATGTTTGCATGTTCTTCTAGCAGGGAAGATACACTTTCCTTGAAAGTAGAGCCCTGCAGCCTCAGACTGTGTTCAATGGCTGCTGCTGTATCAAATTATTTTTCCTTCTAGCCACTGCTATCCATTCCTACCTGCTACATGATAACTGCTGCCCCCTCCAGCAATATCAGGGACCTAGAGGGCAAGTCCGTTCAGCTATAAGTAATTTCAAAGTAGTTTATGCTATGGTGACTTCGTCAGTTTTGTTCTTTCAAGTTTTGTATGCCAGCCTTACACAGAATTCAGTACATAAAGGGGCTACAAGACAACTGGAAGAGGAGCTTTGAACAAGGGCATGGCATGATAGTGCAAGGAGGAATGGTTTCAAACTGACAAAAGGCAGGTATGGATTATATATCAGGAAGAAATTCTTCCCTGTGAAGGTGTTGAGGCACTGGAACATCCCTGGAAGTGTTCAAGAGCAAGTTGGATGGTGCTTTGAGCAACCTGGTGTAGTGGCCCTGTCCATGGCGGAGAGGTTGGAACTAGATGATCTTTGAGGTGCCTTCCAACCCAAGCCATTCCATAATTCTAAGATACAAACAGGGCTGGTTCTGTCTTTCAGGAGCTGTACTTGTGCAGTTGTGTTTTCCTTCTGTTATACCCAAAGTAGTTGTTTTCCTTCCTGAAATAAAACAAAAACAAAAACCAGTAGGCTGAAGCAAAATTAAATAGAAAGAGAGGAATTAATCACTCCCCTATTTAGAACAGGATGAGGATCGTAAAAAGCCCCAAACAAACAAGAACAAAACAAACAAATGAACAGCCAAACCCCAAAGCACAGAAGGATATTTTGGTACTAACCTTGCTGGTGCAGCTGCTAACATAAATGTTTTCCGACACAATCATGAACCAATGTGTAACAGTTAACCCATGAAGGCTTGTGTATTCAGAGCAAGGTTGGGGAAGTGATTACTTTCGGCCACACTGATTTCAGGTGGGTTTTGCAATTATGGTTTGCTTCACTTCTGAAAAAAATTAAAAATGCCTTCATAAAGTCTGGAAGAGAGCTGAGGACATTGGAGTGGCTGGAACTGGAGAAATCCAGTAAAACCTCAGACTCCTAGTGCTGCAAGGCTGTTTGGCAAGTGAAAGGAAATTCAGTTGCATTTTCACAGTCCAGCTCTTGATCAGGGAAAATAATTCCCAATGGTGTCTCTGAAGCTACTTCTCACTAAACAAATAATCAGCTCCAAGGAGAAGCTCTTGACTTAAAATAATATAGTTCCACCACTTACTGAACAAAGTGGCCTTATCTGCCTTCTAAGGGGAAAACTACTTTATGACAATAGAAATCCTCTTAGGTAATCAGCCTGTACCCTGAAGCAGCCTTTCTTATGTCCTCTTTACTCCTCACCGTTGGGTTTTCTTGGGTTATTTTTAGTTTACAATTACTGTCACATTTACAGTGGAGATGTGTGCAGCAGGTTGAATAAGCTGCCTCCTTATATATAGTTGAAAATAAGCACATTTACACTGTCCTGTTTGATTTTTTGGTGATAATCATATCTATGATTTTCTGTGTCTGTCTACTATTTTCTTGGAGGAGCTTTTCCTCTGCTGGCAGCAATCATGCTGAGGACCAGGACTAGTATGGCCAGGTGGGAGTGTCTTGTGAGCCTGTCGTGTCCAAAGTGTTACCCACTGCACACGTGAACTGGAGCTTGTGCCAGCTCTTCTCAAAGCTACTGCACTTTCATGTGTATTCATAGACTTGTTTCCCCTGTTCATGGTAGATGATTTACAGGAGCACAGAGCAGAGGCTGCTCTCCAGTAGGAGATCTAAATGCTGTGTGACCTTGCACGTTTAGGCTTTAAATTTTAGGTTTGTGTTTACCCTTATGGCTTTCAGGCTGGATATCTCATATATGAGTGGCAGAGCCCCAAAGCCTTGGTTTGGCTTCCCACATCCCCCCACTTGGTTTTTGCTATTTTTGGTGACTCCCATCTCAACTCCTCCACAAAACCAGCTCCTACCTACCCTCCTATGAAAAAATGCAAACAGTAGAAAGTTTAACAGGACCTCTACCAGAGTTTTCCTGCAAGTTACCTGCTTGAAGGTCCCTCTGCCATTACTGCAGTCTTTGGCTGCACTGAGTTTGAGCTGTAAATATGCTACTTACAGCTGGAACAGCATCTGCAAAACCACTTCCAGCCAGGTGTCAGTAACATGGCTTTGATTCAGGCTTTGGGAACAGTATATGACAGATTACAAGGATTTCCAGCTCCTAGATCTTTAATGAAGTGGCTGCTTAAACAGAAATAGCACAAATCTCTCGAGATGCTGATGTTATTTCCCAGTGTTAAAACATCTGGTGCTTTAAAGGGTACCTTTGGCATACAGCATTATAAATCTCCCTTTACAACCAGTCTTACAAGCAGATCCAACTCTGCAAAACTGCATCAGTACTGAGAAGCTCATTTGTTGAGCATCCTGCCATCTTGCCAACACACTGTGTCCCCAGGCATGGAAAGAGGGACCGGTTTGTCACCACGGCACATGGCAGAGCACTTCATGTCCTTTTAAGTAAATGTCATAGCAAAGCCATTCCCAATCCTGAGAAGCTAGAGCACCATGGACATGCTGCTGAATGCATTCTACTGATGGATTCTCATGTGTCATGTCCCAGAAAACTCTTCCCTCTCTATAGCTGCCACCTCCATGGCTCAAGGACAGCCCAAAACCCTTTGTCTGAAAAAACTCTGCCATCAGGTGGATACTTAGAGAGCATTGCTCAAGTCAGATCACCTCCCCTAAAAACCTTTTTTTAAATCAATAAATAATTTGTTTGAATAAGATCCATACTGATTTGGAACAGCAGCTTCATGTTTCCTTCTAGAATGAAGTTAACATTTTTACCAGGGAAAGTATTTTGTAATCAGAGAAACAAAATAGAAATCAGAAGACAACACCAACTCCTGGGTCACTGCACCGTCCCCACAACTCTTGCTCCCGCTCCTGGCCTCTGCTGCAGACAATGCATGTTTGGGACCATGATCTACACTGTTGTTGCCTTGAGGTCCTTGAGGAGCAATTTGTCTCCCTGCCTACAGCTCCTCCCCTGCTCCAAGCTCCTTTCAAGATTCTCCTGCTGAAAGTGCATGGGGACTTCACTGCAGTGGGCTCCAGCCAGCTCCGTCTCTGGCGGTTGTAAGGCAAGCCATATTCAGAAGCAGGGGGATGCTTGGGACAGACTGCTTACTCCCAGCATGGGTGCAAGATGGAGGTAGGTGGACCAATGCAGCAGATACTGTTCTGACAGTCTGACTTTATGAAGGGTGCTGTTGTGCTGTCCCATTTGATCTAAATAATTGTGTTCTCTGTGTGTGCTCCTTGGAAAGCTTCAGTATTGCACTTAGTGGCTTGTCTACTCCTCCTTCTTTGTTATTTTATTTGTCCTGAGGCAAGCAGACATACTGTGAAGCTGAAGGTGCTCCCAGCACTTTTCTTCCAACATCTGGGTTCCTAGAAGTCCAGTCCTGTAAGATGGCTAATTGATTTGATCCCATTAACTTGATTTAATATGTAGTCTCACTTCACCCTGGCACAGGTCCTTCTGCCATGTCTGTGCCCTTTGTATTTCCACAATACTGCCTCCATAACCCTCTGCCTCCAACCTACTGTGCTATGTTCTAGCATGCTTTTTCCTTAGACTCTCAGGATTTGTGCAGAAGGACATGAACAGTCCCACTGCTTTAACTTTCTTTGTAGTCTAATGGCAACATTTTCCAAGAGTTTGTGCAGGAAGCCCCTGCCACCTCTGGCCATTCAGGCACCCTGCTCTGGTGTTGCACTTAATATGTGGCTGTCAGACTCCCCGTGTCACCAAAAGCACTGCCAACCAATCTCCTGATCTCTCTGAGATTATCCAGATAAGATAAGGAAAATAGTTGTTTTCAAGGTCTTTAGTCCACATTTCTACTTTCTCATTTGTCACCTTCCCAAGTGACAGGAGAGCTTCCAATTTTTCAGTGAAATCTCTGTTGTAAATGTAAATCCATGAGCACAAAGCAAGGCTGTGCGGGTGTTGGTACCTTACCAGCGTGCACTAGACATGAGACAGTATCCTGGGCAGGAACAGGGATGCCCTTTCTCTCCACCAGTTTCATCCTGTCAGACACGGATTTCCCATGCCAGGCTCACCATGTGGGCAGGTGCAACAGCAAGATGATCAGAGTGGGAGCTGTCTTGGACACTGGCTATCCAAGTCACCTTTCTTCAATCCAGCTGCCTTCCTTGTGCTCCCTTGACTTGTTGGGAGGCTGACTTTGGTGAACGGGAGCACCCTGAAATTCCCGCCTCAAAAGCAGAGTCAAAGGTCCTCCCTGTCTTTCTTTGGTAAATTGAGGCAGGCTGGGCTTTTGATCATCAAAGTTTTCCTGTTTTGGAAGGAGGAGGAGCCACTAGTCATGGGTTCATTGATTCCCTGCCCAGCAAGAATGTTTTCTTTCGCACAGCCAAGCCGCACCTCTGATGACTAACAGGCCGTTCTCTCTCTCTTTGATATACTATCAGCTGGGTTTATCAGAGTATCAACACAACCTCCCCACTCCAGGCCTCGCCCCTTCTGGCCAGCTCTCACTGCAGAGCGGGCAGGGGCTGGATGAGAGCTGAGCTCACCTCTTATTCCAAGGAATTTTAACAGCAGGTTTTAAGCTACTTATTTACTTTTTTTGGTCTGTGCAGGAAGTCTGAGCTAAAAAAAAAAAAAAAAAAGGAAAGAGACAGAAGTATAATTGCTCTGGCACGCCTGCATTCCTACTTCAGTCTCAGACGGGCAGGCACTCTTTCTTGTCGGAGCCAGGAAGAGGATCTGATCCCTGAAGACCATCGCCACGAACGTGCGTAAGTGAAACCTGCAGCCATGCTGAAACAGATATTATCAGACATGTACATCGATCCGGAGCTGCTGGCAGAGCTCAGCGAGGAGCAGAAGCAGATCCTTTTCTTCAAGATGAGGCAGGAACAGATCAGACGGTGGGAGGAAAGAGAAGCTGCTGAAGAAAAGATTTCAGCAAAGAAGCCACTGCCAAGAAAAGGTAAGTCTCTGTCTCCTGGCTGCTTCATCCTCTGGCACATATCTGGCCTAGTCAACTGCTTCCTAGAAATAGGAAATAATGTATCTTTAGAGCAATTTCTTCTCCAAGGGACATTGCATTGGCTTATTTCCAAACATAACTAAATCCACCTGCAAGGGGTAGTTTTGGCCAGGCTTACTCCCTGGCCCAGACATTCTGTCTTTGACCAAATTGCTCAACTGCCCTAGCTGGGAAGACACGGCTTATTTGCCCCCAGGAGATGCATCTCATTAAGTTTCCCACTAAATGGTGCCTCTGAATCTGTCTTTAACATAACCATGGATTTGAATATCTCTCCTGAGGCGCTAGATCTGATGGGCAGTTCCCACTGAGATTTTAGATCTGAAGTTCTCTTGCCAGGATTACACAGCATTCCAGCTGCTAGGAAGAGAGATCTCTTCTTCCAGATCTTCCCCACATCCTCTATTTGCAGGTAGCTCACTCTCACACAGTTTGGAGAGGACAGTGGTCAGGAATTAAAGCAAGAAAAGCAATAGTGGTGATTCTTCTTCTTTGCTCCCAGACTCAGAAATGCCTCCTTCACTGACCTGGCTCAAGGGTTTGAAAAAATTGACAAGTGTGGGCTGCCTCCCAGTCGAGCTTTTTTCATGTACAGTTGCTTTTGTGGGGACTCACCAACAGCAGCTGGTAGGGCACAGCAGGTGCAACACAGACCCTGCAAAGACTTACCCAGCAAAGAGCATTTGCCAAAGAGCTGCCTCTTTTCCAGCCAACAGGAAGTCAGTGACGTGGAAACTCGGTGCTGACAATGAAGTGTGGGTCTGGGTGATGGGTGAGCATCCTTCAGATAAATCCTATGCAGCCATCTGTGAAGAGATCCAGGCACAAAGAGCAAAGCGCTTAGAGAGAGAGCAAGGCCAGGAGGGCAGGTAAGCACCCTTCAGCTGAAGGACTCAGCAGATATGGAGAAGGAGGCTTTTTTCTGAGGACACATGAGCTGGAGTCTTCTCTGTAGGGGCTGTGGTTAGCACTGTGACACTAGCCCTGTTGGCAAAAGGCTCAGGCTGGCTTTCTGAGAGGGCACACAATGCTAGCAGAGACCAGCTGCAGCCTGAGACTTGCCCCAGCTCACTGAGTCTCCTGTGGCACGGCTTCTGCGTGGGACCCTCTGCAGACCACAGGAAATGCTGATGCTGTTACTGAAGCAGGTGACAGGCTCGGATCGCTCTGATTCACCAGCAGGTGTGCAGGTACAGCTGGACAACAGTTACTCACCACAAGTCTTTAATTTAATTACTCACCTACCTGATCTGGAGATATAACTGCCTGTGCACGTGTGGCTTAATTGCAGCCCTGCTCTGCTCACATGCAGCCTCCTCACAAGATGCTCAGACATCAGAAAGTGACTCCCTCTAAAATCCTCTCTCTCTTGCATTTCAGAGAGACTGACTCTTCTGCAACATGGTCTTTACACCCACAGCCAGGACTTCTGGCTGAGACAGATGTTCATGGGAATAAAAAACACACTGCAGAGAAAAAAGAGGAACATGGGAGAAGAATGACTGATATTGATACAACAGGAAAAAGCCAGGAGCTCACAAAGGTAGTTTTCCATTTTCCTGTAAACTATAAGACACATGTTTTTTGAGGTCTAGGAAGTCCAGCAAATCTTGCTTACTGTAAATACAAATCTGAAGGAAAAATGCATCTATCTATAAAAGTTTTTCTTCTACAGAAGAGAGGAAACAATGTTGTTACATCCTTCCTTAAGACTCAGGAGGTCCGTGTGCTATTCTCAGCTGGGTTAGATCTGCTCTGCACCAATGGATAAATTACTTTGAATTCTGCTGATTAATTATTGCTTTCATTCTCTGTGGATAAAACAAGGAGTGCAGTACCTTCCCTTCTGCACTTTGGCTGGTTTGGATTGCTTTTGGGGCAAGACCAGGGAGGCTATCCTAGGATCTTTAAATGGAAGATCACAGCCCTTGTGACAAATCATTTACTTTTATAAAAGAACAAATGAAAATAATTTTACCAGCATCATTTGACATTCATATTTTAGGTGGTTCTTGGGTTTTTTTATCTTCTAATACAGAAAAAAGCTTACGACCTTAATAGCATAGGACAGCTCCAAATGCAGTAATACAGTGTCTGCTTTCCTGTGGTGTTTCATTACAGAACTATTTTTTCCAGCAATAAATACATTTGTGCTTTTTAACTGGCTACAAAAAGCCATTTGCAGAGAAAGGAAAAAAAGAAGAGTTAAATTAACTACCCATGCAACCACAGTTGAACAAAAGGAACAGGACACCCTGCCAATTTAATGGGAGAAGTCCAGTCTCATTCTGCAGTTTTCATTCATGAACTTGTATGAATAGTGTATATTCTTTTATCGTACAGCCATTCCATACTTCGGTAGAAAAAGTATGATAACAGAAGGTTGGCTTTTGGCAAAATGCTCTCCTACTGCTACCAAAACAGTGAATGGAATTCAGAGTGATTGTCTCCTTTATCAAAAGCCTCTGAGTCACATGGGGTTTTTCTCTGCACTGTTTGCTGAAGTTGAGCAACTATGTGGGAGATTTTTTTTTCAAAGGAACTTATTAGTCAAAGCTGGCAAAAAAACCCCAAACCAACCAACCAACCAAACAAAAAAACCCAAAATATACAAGCCACCACCAAAAATCTAACCTCCCTTCAAAGTCTTGCACATGGAAATAGATGGGGACTGTATATTTTCCTTTCTTTTCTGTCATATCATTAGTAAATTTTCCCATGTTTCCGGGCCTTTTGCTGTTAGAAGGAGGGCTCCAGACTGAAGTCCCCTGTTGTATTTTCTAGGCCTTTTCCTAGAGAGGCTTTTGCCCACCTCCTGCTTTAAAATGTTTTCTCTGAGATCTAGTTCCGATTTAACCAGAGGGATCCAGGTATCATGCTGCAGGGAATAGGGGTGATCTATGAAAAAATGCTGCTTCACACATATTTGAAGTTCCTAGTTTCCTGTTGAGGACAGGGGAAATTGCAAAGCCACGTTCATATTAAATATTAGCCAAGTAGTTGATGGAGCTAAGAGGAAGCGTGACCTTGGTAAGCAGTATAGTACAATTAACTCATCAGTTGTTGTGCCATGGGAGGCAGGGGGTGTCTGATGGGGAGGTAGGTGGGTGTTTACTGAAAGCCAAACCTAACAGTTTGTCTGCAGAGGCAGCTCTCAGCTAGGGGCTGCTGGCAGGGCAGCTTGGCTGGTTTTCAGGGAAGAGAGAACACAAAATATCCAGCCAGCTGGATCAGTTTGTCAAGTATGAGTTTGCAGCAACCCAGCCACAGCTGCAAACATGCACAGGCAGGTAAAGCTGTAGACAGCAGGTTCTGCAAGGGGTTGCTTTAGAGGAAGGGAAGAAAGGGACTGCTCCCTGGGAGCACTTGTGAGCATTGCTTAGCAAATCTAGGCATGCTTATGGCAATCCTGACACACCTGAGTTCTCCTTCTGTGGCATGTATGGCCAAGTGTGATGGGAAACGCCCCCAGTGATTGTCAGAGCAGGCTGGCAAAATTTGTTAACAAATGTCACATAACTGCTTTTGCCTTAAACACCTATTGCACAAAAAAAAGGAGCAATTGTCCTAATGTCACATTTATTTCTCATTACTCTTTTGCTCTGCTCAGAGGGGAACCAGAAATGTTCATCAGATGCTGGCAGATTGCCATATGAGGAAGCATAGTTTCCAACAGGTAAGTGGCAACCTATGATGCTCTTAACACATTGAGTGGGGTCAGTGTTTTATTCTGAAGTCCCAATCAGCTTCAGAGCCTCATGTGAGCCAAGAATGTTGTCACCTTTTGGACCAGTTTTATCCAGTATTGCCATGCTCCTCATGTGTGGCGTGATGATTTGGAGATGATACAAAGCAGGCCAGGCTGGCAGACTGGAGAGTAACACAGGGAGATGCTCCTGATGATTTGTGGTGGTTTTCATTCCTGCCTTGGTTATTACCTGCAGTAAAGACAGAGAGTTTCTATGTTGTTGTTGTTGTTGAAATTAGAGGCATTCACTGTAAAGAATGGAGTTCTCAGTATTTCAAGGGTAGCTAAAAAGCAGGGCTAAAGCTTGCCTGAGACAAAGCTGAACATACTGTTTCTTTCATAGATGAAGGAAGCACAGAGGAAAAATTCAGAAGAGATCACAGCCCCCCAGGAGCCAATACCACAGAGCCACTCCAGCACAGAGAGCCAGAGAACGCTGCAGAAATCAGATGAAAATGAGCCTGAATGGCAGGAATTCTGTAAGATCTTAAAATTACCTTCTCCTATAAGGCTTGAGAAATCCTAGGGCTCTGTGGGTTCATCTCAACCCTTCTCCTGCCATACTAGAACTGAATAACAGGTCAGAGGGTGGAGAGTATTGCCAAGAAATACAGGGCTGTATTATCAGAAATATTTCTGGGTCCATGCAGCATTGAGACTAGACGTGGGCAGGGAAATGGAAAACTTTTCCAACTGACACTATGTTAAAACAAGCAACAGATAGGAGCCACATGAGCATAGCCAGTACAATTAACTTTAAACTAGAAGCTGGGCTTTTGTAGGTCTTTGCAGTAACATTGCTCTTGAGGACAAGGATAATGGGTAACAGGGACTAATCAAAATGGGCTTCCCTGTCATTCCAGCATGATCCCACCTAAGTAAAGCCCTGCTGCACTGTCTCATGTAATGAATCCAGATGATAGAAAGAAAAATGGCAAACAGCATGAGACTTGCAGTAGCATCCATCACTGCTGCCAAATGCTTCCCAAAGGAGAACCTGATGCACTTTCCTTCCCAGCTCCTCTCCTGCTGCTCAGTAGATGGCAATGCTGTACCACCAGTTGTTTCCACTTCAGTCTAGGGGTTTTATTTTTCTCACTGATTAAAAAAAAAAAACACTGACTGGAGAGCTGGTTACTTGTACAGACTCCAGGGTGAGATGGACCTAGACAATCATAGCAGCTTTTCAGAAAAAAAAACCCAAACAAAAACACAGTCAAGTTCTCCACTTTCCATAGTAGTTTCAGCAAGGCTCCTTCCCACCCTCCAAAATTAATTATCACTTTCAAATCCTTCAAAAGATTGATTTGGGGTCATTTCAGCAGCTTCAACTCCATAAGCCCACCCCCCACCTCCAACAGTTTACATGAAAGGCACTACAGAACTCCATGTCTGAACCAGAAGTCAGCATCTGAAACAAAACCAAGAAGTCTCTAAGTACAAAGGGACCTGCTACCAAGAAAAAGTGCACAGATTTTTAATCTTGTCCCAGAAAAAAACTGGTTTTTAATATTTTAAAATAATAAAAACTGTGACACTTAACACTTGGGAGACATGTGGCAAATGGTCTCACAACTGAGTAAATCTTTCAGTTTGTGAAATGGGTTCTTCTTCCATTTCATCAAGCAGGAAAATGGCCAAAGGGTAGCAAGCTTTAAACTTGCTGCTTGTTTGCTCCTGTGAGACTCCTTTTTTGTTGCAGTGCGGAAATCCAAGGCAGCAGATGAGAAGAGACGCTCCCTTGCACGGCAAGCCAGAGATGACTACAGGAGACTTTCACTGCAGGGCATCCACAGAGGGAAACAGGCAGATATTTCCAAGGGTGCCACAGCAGGAGATCGGCGACCACTTCAATACCCACCCCTTCCCCCCAAGCCTAAACTTCCACCTCCTGCTGCAGCAAATGGGAGAGTGATTAGGTAAGGAAGCCCCTGTGCACTGTGGAAAGGAGAAGGGATGAGATTCTTTTGCTCTAGCATGGGATGGTTGAGAAGGGAATGGTTAGCTCTCCCCCTTGTGTGGAAGAGACTCCCAGCAGGGAAAAATACAGAGCCTAGGCTATATTCCAGCCTAGGGTGTGATGAGGCCTTCAAGTGTTCATTCCTGGAGGGTAACTGGTTTAGTTAGTAGAGTGTCCTAAGCCTGGAACACATAGAGCTGCTATGATGACAGATGTCCACTGAAAACCATATTCCATACACCTGAACTGGTGTAAGCTGCCTGTTTAGGACTGGTCTTAAAATCCTAAGCAAAATATAAGTCCTGCACAGGGACTCAAAACCTGTCATTTGAATCTGATGCACAAACCAGAGGTCTTTTCTAACAGGAAAGAGGGAGTCCAGCGGACAATCTCCAATTCCACAGAAGAAAGCATCATCAAGTGGTTCAAAGAGGAGCAATTCCCTCTCCGAGCCGGCTATCTGAAAACTACAGACAAAATAGCACCTTGGTTCCATGGTGAGTCCTGGGAATTTCCAACCCAACCCAATTGTTCAAGGAGTTTTTTCTGCTAACATGGCTGCTAACACAGGCTGTGCTTGGGAGTAAAGCTTCTATACTGGAATCAACATACAACAGCTACAGTACCATTCTCTCTCATAACACAGCAACAGCCCTTTCAAGCTCTCCACGCTTGTCATTCATCATTGGCCAAGAGTGTAACAGTTAACAAAGAGCAGTTGGCCATGGCCTTTTACTAGCAATGGCAGCACTCTCCTTCCTGGGCTACTGGGCAAGAAAACAGTGAAAGTGATGGAAGTGCCATGGACTGGTTTTAGAGCAGATTTCTTGTGAGAACTGTTCTGTCCAGTCAGAAATGCTTTTCTCTCTTCAGTTCTGTGTTTTGGTTTTGAATAGGTATCCTAACCTCTAAGAAAGCAGAAGAGCTTCTGAATAAAACAGTACCAGGGAGTTTTCTGATCCGGGTCAGTGAGAAAATCAAAGGTTATGTGCTCTCCTATCGGTCTGTGGAAGGATGTAAACATTTCCTCATTGATGCCTCCAGTGATTCCTACAGCTTCCTGGGAGTGGACCAGCTACAACATTCAATGCTGGCTGACCTTGTAGACTACCACAAGGTGAACAACTAGCAATGCATTCATTAACTGCTTAATTGCCTCAGGACACTTTGAAATAAGAAATAATAGATTCAGTTGTTTTGAAGTAAGTAACTAGATACATTTTATTTGCTGCTGGGGATCCTCTGCGCTGCTCCAGAAGGGTATGTTAGCCTGACTGGTACAGCCCAAGTGATCTAATATATCACAGGTATCTTAGACTTGGCTCACTTACCCTCAAGCACACAGAATACCTTGCATGCAGGGCCCAAGTTACAAGTTACTTAGTAGAAATGTTGATGAGAGGTGACAGCATACTCATGCAAACTCCTTTCTTTTGTATTCCCTCTGTGGTTAAGGGGCAAGTTGGGTAAACATGACAACCTGCTTACCTTCAGCTTCAGCACAAAAGAGAGCAAGGTATCTTTATAATCTCAAAGCAGGCAAAGGGTGGTATTGAGCAAAGGTGAAAATAAAGAAGGGAAAGAGGAAGGTTGTTAGGCTCTTGCAACGATAACAGTGGTGTTTACCAGCACTGACTGCAGTTACATGGGTTTCAAGGAGAGCCAGATGGATTGTTCATTTCTTTACTGTAGGATCTGTCCAGAGACAGAACAACAATTTTTCTCATAGGCTCATTTAAAATCCCTGTTTCTTTTAAAGAAGTGCCTAGCTTAATACAGATATGGCTAAACAAAACTGGACATAAGAACAATAGCTGTGCTCATTTGCTCTATGGAACTCTGGCTGGACTGCCTGAACTTGCTTCTTGCATGGCTTTTACAGTTCAGGCTGAAAGTATTAAAAGCAAGAGTTATACAGCTATTTGTACCAGAGCTAAAGGATTTAAAGCCTGGCTGTGCATAGCTACATGAAACACGGAGTCAAGCCTACAGTCTGCAAAGAATCCTGCAGACCCCCTGCACTACAGCACGTGTGGGCAGATGAACCCACTCTGCCAAAGTGCCACATTGGGTTCTGTTTATCACCACCAGGTGACCATGGAAGAAGGCAGTCCCCACAGGCATCTTTTGCTAGGATGGAGAATGACATTGGAAGCAGAGACTGTACTATCAGGAAATTCCCTGCTTAGAACAGCACTTGCCTAAGTAGAGAGTGTGCGCTCTGTCCAGAATCCACCCTTGTCCCTCCCACAAACAGCCAGAAGCACAGTCCACAATCCCTGGTTCTGCTTTACCTGCATGCTGCACAGTCCTGGCTCCAGTGTGTTATGGAGACAGCGGGCAGAGGGCCCTTTCCTGAGTTCTCCAGGGAATTGAGCTGTATCACACAGTGGTGGGAACACATCCACACCATAATAGAGGCAGGAAGACTGCTGTCCACCTTGTGAAGTTGAGACAGGCAGGGTCTGTTTGAAAGCTGGTGTTTGATCATATCCTATATTAACAGGATGAACCCATCACTTCCTTGGGGAAGGAGCTGCTGCTTTACCCATGTGGCCAAGAGGACCAAGAACCAGATTACATCTCCCTCTTTCAGTAAACCTCCCCATCTCTCTGGGCAGCCCCAGACTTGTATTCACAAAGAACTTGGAACTGAACTTGGAACTAGAGCTGCTGATATGTACCTGAAACCATATGTGCCTCTATTTTGTATCCTTCACAAAAAAATAGTAGGAGGATAAGTACTGTTGTGAGCTACAGGATGCATCAGCCCAGCAAGCTGCAAAGCACCTGAATACATCCCACAAGATGGAGAAAATGAGTTGCTGAAGTAATCAATTGAACAGGGAGATACTGCCATGGATTTTCAGTGGTTTTGTATGTTACTTGGAGGATTTCTGTATTCAAGCTGCCTTTTGTTCTTGAATGCAAGGTTGTGTGCCATCTGGGAAATAGATTAGTACCTACGGTTGAATGAGATTATACCTTCCTGAAGGCACAAAACCACTTGGAGAGTTGAATTGATCTTGATATATGATTTGCACGACGTGAAGCTTAATTCTATAAAATGCTGTGTCCTTGGAAGGAAGGATGTTCAGCCAAACGTCCAAGCAAACCCTGAGTGCCTTTCAGTGAAAAGTGCTCTCTGTGACAAGAGATTTCCATGAAGAGTGCATTTTTAAAACTCCTCTAGCCTCTGAATCCTCACTCTTTTAACCTTTTAACTCCCACACAGGCCTTTCTGCATTGAGAGGGATTATCCTTTTTGAAAAGGAAAGGAGGTGGGACAAAGGCATTTGTATGAATGACTATCACATGTAAAGAGCCTAAAAATGTAAGAAGGAACACCTATATCAGTATTAATGCAGTTTACAGAAGAGTTTTTGCCAGTAAAGGATGCTATTTTCCAACATGTAGCTATTTATTGCAAGTTGTGTCCCGATTACTGAGATGCATCTGGTGTAAACTTCATCATAGAACTTGTTCTTTCAACATAATGTTCTCTCTTCTTATCTGTTACAATGCTATTTAAATACATCATTCTGGAGACTGGGGGAGAGCCTGGACAGAATCACATAACAAATTAGTCTTCATCCAGGTTCCCTCATGTTGTTGCACATGACAAACTGCAGCTGAGGGTTGTGGTGTGAATCTGCAGACATCATTTTTCAGAGGCACAATCCTCAAATAGTGAACAAGAGTTGATCTTGTTTCAGTTGTTTACTTATTTATACCTGTTCCCTTTTTTCTGTTAGATCAGGGCTACTCAACTTAAAGGAGCAGTCAAATCTTTCAACCTTACATTAATCTGGGTTTTGCAGAATACAGATTTAAAGAAATTGTGATCATTTGGTCTTAAGATTTACAGCTATGCTGATAAGCAGTTTCCATTCCAGGAAAGAGGGGATAACTGCACTCCAGTTACAGCAGGTGTCACTTGCTAGAAATAAAGCCTTAATATAAACTAAGATTCTGAACATAAAGACACTCTGCCTCTGCAAATGACTTAATGAGCTTCTAGAGAAATATATCACATGTATCAGAGAGATAATTTCAATATAATCTGCATCAATCCTGAGAAAGAGTGATAGATTATTTGTAGGGGGGAAAAAATATCTCTTTCCCTCTTTATGAACTGTTTCTTTTAAAAATATGGTCAAAAATGAAAGGTCCTTCAGAAAAACATCTGTTTTCATGTGAAGAATGTGCCATAGCTGATATCTTGCTTGAGACAAATTGTGAATTATTTTGCAGACCTATGGGCTGGTAAAGACAAGTGAAAAACATGGTCTCTAAAAAGGCAATTTGAGATGAAGGGTGTTAACTTGCAAAATAATATGCAGGCCGATTTGGCATGGACATAGCAGGACATAATCAATTTTAGCTTGAAGATCTTTAATAAAACTCCTCAGGGTTTGAACCTGCTGACAAGTGGACCAGTAGATTCACTGCCTTTAGATTAAACTACTTATTTGCAAATATTGTCTCAGTACAGCCCAGGAAAAACCACTATACATGTTCACATCATCCCACATGTTTGAGTCATGCCTCAGTTTTTCAAAGACCCACTTTTCTGCTGTGAGGCAAGAAATATGAACATTTAGATTACTGCACTGACAGAAAAGGCAACTACATTTCTAGAACAGATCCCCTCAAGGCTAGCTCTTCTATTGCTCCGAAATCCAGTTACTCTGAAAGTCTGTGGAACGAGGATGTCTTGCAGCAGTTGAGAATGAAGGGTGATGACATGACTTTGGCAGTTTCTCTGTAGAATCTTTCCTTCTTCAAGGGATGCAGTGCAAGGATTACAAGAGGAGTCAATTTGAAAATTGCTTGCTAGAGAGATCATGAATCCTGGAGGAGCATGATGATTTGTTTTGCTCAATGCCTTTAGCCAGAGCATGCTGCAGTCATCAAAAAGCAAAACAAGGAGTCCCTGGATGGATGGCCTCCCCACCTGCACAGGGCCATCTCTAGTCCCTCCTCAACCAAGATCCAATCAGTTGTCATTTTGAGAAAGATCACAGGCTGGTCTGGGGACAAGGAAGATAGAGACCTTCATAACAAAATCTATTGTTCTGTTGGCTGCTCTTTTTGGACTTCACCTTTTTCTCACTGGTCTGGAAGACCTAGTTAGAGCTCCACTTGGCCAACAGAAACATAAGTAACAGCAGCTTCCCTTTCTCATGCTGTTCTTCACCTCTCCTGTCAGTGCAGTCTCCACCTCTAAGAGAGCCCTGCCAGACCTCTGCTGTGATTTGATTGCCCTGCACATCACAGATGTGGCCAATGACTGAGGGCTGCATCTCTCCATCACTGATACCATCTCAGCTCTTGCAAAACTGGCTCGTGCAGCCAAAGAACAGAAGCTGCATAGACAGTATTATTCCTGGTAAGAGGAATGGCATCTCTGTGGAAAAGGATACACATGAAAATCACAAAGGTGCTATTTAAAAACATAAGTTGCGAAACTCTGACAGGATCCAGATGACATGTTTGCAAAGGTACCCCAAGTAATGAAGTGCTGAATTTACAGCTGCCCAGTGCTTTGAACTGGAGACTAATAGAGGTTTGAAGGGACATCTGGAAATCATCTGGCCTAGTCCTGCTCTATGAATGAGGCTCAAGGAACACTGAATAAAACCATCATGGAAATAGTTAAGGTAAGGTTTGAGGTAGGCTATGATTATGAAACTTTCATAGTATACAACACCCAGTTTAAAGTTCAGGTTTAAGTGGGACAGAAATAACAACTTTTGCCTTGAAACAGCTACCAAGTTTCATATGCACTCAACAAGCCATACCTGTCTCCTCCAATTGCATAATGTTTGTAAAGTTACTTCATCAATACAAAGCCCTTTATAAATAATTTATCACATGTTCTGGGAACAAAACAATTCTTTGGAGGATCTACTTGAGTGATTGCTGAAGTTTCTATCGTAAGTGATGTATTTTGGGGCTTGAGGTTTTAAAGTACACAAAGTTTCTATCCTTTTTGTGCTTTTGGACACTTTGTCATTTGCAAGGCTAGTGCAATGCAGATCCTTTGCACCAACAAAAGACAAACACATATAAACCTGTCCAAGGAAAAGGTACTTACAGCAGCATGGTCTCTGTCTGCAGAACGTGCACACAGTACCTTCAAAAGAGGTTCATAGTGCTCTTTCTACTGCAGAGCTGCACAACAAAGAGTGGTTCACTTATTGTTCAGTGCTACCTTTCTTCTCCCCAGCTTTCACAAGCCAAAAATCAAATTAGAATCTGGTTCAGACTGCCTTGAATTAATCTGAATCTATAAAATAAAGGGACTGCTCAGGGAAACAGCATTTAGGTGAGCAAATGGGATTTACAAGCCCATGCAGTTTTTGTTGGCTAGTATATATTAAAATGGTGAATAGCTGTCAGCATTAAAAGAAAATGCTTTACAAGAGCAGTAACTCAGACTTTCAACAGTTTTAGGCAGTTGCAACAAAAACTATTAAGAAGATGGCTAATTTTTACAATTAGTACCTATAATTATCATAAGAGAATTTGCAGGGTCCAGTAGTCCATCACAAAAATTTATTTTGTTACTTACAAAAAGCTTTCCATACCCTGGGCAATACTCTGTATTTGGTTTAGAAGAAATACTTTGGTGTAAAACCAGAAAATGTTCATCACTGTTGGTATCTGGCATTTGGAGTTTAAAGCCTCCTGCAAAATCAGTACTGCAAGTTGATGTGTATTTCCTTTTCTTCAGCATGATAAAGCTTCTGCCTTCCAGTGCCCAGGTTGTGTAGAAAAATCATTTATCTGAACCCAGTTCCCATCCACAGAAACACAGATCTGCAGAGAATTTTCCAAGCATTAGAAGGCTGTACTATTTCCTACTAAGGCTAGAAGTAGAAAACCTGAAGTATAGCAAAATAATTCCCAAGGCAAACAAATTTCATTTAAAAATAAATCTTGAAATACATACAGCATTCTAAAGCAGAAATACACTAACTTATTCACATGATACAGATGTGGCTCATTGCTTTTGGTTCACTGAACACAGAGAAGAACAAACAGTACCCTCTAGTGTTTTTCAACCATCACACTTGACCAGTAAGGTTTTCTCTTTCTTAAGTTTAGAAAGCACTTTCTGAGAAACCTCTTTCTCTGGATGAACTTGGAATGGCCTGTTAATGCACTGCTGCTGTTTCCCCCCTCCCAGCCCCTTAAAGGAAAAGTATTTTTGGTCACTCCAGCTTTACCATGGTTAACAATCAGATGTCCTTCTTAGAGCAGGAGTCTCTGTACTTAGTCAAAAATAGCCCTTTTTGGATATGTCAAGTTAAATGTAGAAAGTAACTCCTGAATATTGGCCCACCAAAAGGTCAGTCCTTTAAATAACTGTACACATCTTACAAACATTTCAAAGGAAAAGCACATGCATTTGTTAGTGTGAATACCACACTGGTCACATAATACCACATAATGTTCATTGTCTCTGTGATGTGACCTTGAATCTCCTCAAGTCTTCAAGTCTTCTCCAGAAGCAAGTGCTGAACAGTCAGGATAATGGAGTACTTAAAAGCCCCATTATAATAAAAACAAAAGTAGGGAGGATAGATGCTTTCCCTCTTCTTTTGCTACCATCCTGCTGGAATCTCCATCCTCTTTCAGTCTCATCCCAACTTTTCCAGTTTAAACCGCTTTTCAAAAACACCCTAAAGTCCAGTTCAGAGGCTTTTAATCTCCCTTTGTGGATTCAGGTCTTCTTACTGCTCAATTTCTGTCTGTGAAGGTGTGTCTCAATCTCTTCCTTGAAAACAAGCATCCCAAGCTGGCCATGAGAAGCCTCATTCATGGCCTTGGACTGCATGCACATTTTGTACTGCTCTGGAGTCAGCTCATCCAGACACTGCTTTTCATGCCACAGATGGAAGAGACCCCTGACAGGCGTTCGGATCACCATGAGGTTGCTGTGAAGGTACTTGCGGTACAGATGCACATCTTCACCACCCCAGCCTTTAATGTCCAGGTCAAAGCCACCTGACACAAACAAAACTCAAAATAAAACTAGAAATCCATTAGCAAACTTGATGCTATTAATTGCACTGCAGCTCTTTTATGGTTCCAGCCAGCCCTTTAAAACACACATCAAATTTCCCATTTTCAAATCTTTCACTATTAGAGAAAAGTTATTTATTTGTAATTTTATTT